CACTCCACATTTTGAGGTGATGCATCCCCTGCTTGGACCACAAGCTGCTTCTGATCTCTGGTTGTCAGACTCAGCCTGAGACTTGGGGAAATTTGCTTGTCTGAGCACTAGTAAGCATGCACTAGATGGAGTTCATATAAAAGAAATTTGCATGGTTGTGTGTGCTTGTGTATGCAGACACACACACATAGCAGCATATGGGCAACTGTTGTATCATATGCTGTGCATCTATTGTCAGTGGTACATTTACTTATTTTTTTAAACTGTGGGAGCCATGCTGTCTGCAGAGAGAAGTTAAGAGTCAAGCATCATTCAATATTGAATTTCAAAAGTGAAATATTTGAGATTCAAAAAGTGAGATTCAGAAACTGCTTGATTTTGGATCTGAGTGAAAATGTTTGCACTTACACAACAGCAGTTGGAATGCCTGAACTCTACATGGGAAGACAGTGGTCCTACGGTGATTTTGGACCTCAGCTTCCAGAATCCCTGACCAGCATAACCTATGATAATGGACTGTGAGATTTGTATTTCAGAACATCTGGAGAACCAGAGATTCATCACCCTTGCTGCAAGTGAGCGATGTTATGCATAGAATTTGACCTAGGAACCTCTGGCTCAAGCCAGGGAACTTAAAGGCAGGGCTGTAGTTGAGTGGCAAGCACATACTTTGTATGCATAAGGCCCCAGGTTTAATCCTTGGCATCTCTAGGCTGGGCAGAGATAATACTCTGTCTGCTACCAGTCACTGTTGAATAGAGTTCTGGGCTGTTTGGGATGGATAGTGGGTTGATGCACTATACTATAAGCTTTTTTATCTTAGCCTAATTGGCAGCTTGATGATCTGCAGCTTCAAGAGTCTGCCAGAGGAACCTGGCAGATTATTAGCCAGCTCATCATCACCTCAGCATTATTCAGTTGGCTCTCCATATCCATGGACACTTTAGCCATGGTTTCAACATACACAGCTTGAAAATATTTGTTAAAAAATATAAATTCCAAAAGGCAAACCTTGATTTTACCATTTTATATAAGAGATACCATTTTACTATCCATTCTGTTTAATGGAAATTGAACATCCAAGGATTTTGGTATTCAGGACGGGACTTGGAACCCAACCCCAGTGGATACCGAGGGTCCACTGTACTTCTGAATGTCAGTGATGTCCTTGGCATATTGTTATGCCCAAATGAAGGAGAATAATAGCTGGTTGCCATTAATTTCTTCCCACTGATGCAACCTACATCTGATTATTGGTTCTGTTTTTGAATGCGCTTTGCTATCTCATTGATGTGTCATTCTGATGTCATAAATAGGATTTCTTCCTGTTTCCACCTATGATGACACAACCGCAACATCCAGAGAGTGTATAGATATAGTCTCTGACCCAAGTATCATACATTGGCCAGTCAGTGAAATAAGAACATCCTATCTCAGCCTTGTATCTTCAATGCCTCCACCAAATCTGATGTGTGGGACTATAGCACTCAGCATCTGCAATCAGCAGACTAGCTGGGGATGATGAAAGCTGTAGTCCAACACATCTAGAGGCCATCATGCTTGTTTATATTTATTTATTTATTGGTTGGAGGGTGGAAAATTTCTTTTAAAGTTTAGTTGGTACTTATAGAATCATAGAATTCGAAGAGACCACAAGGGCCATTCAGTCCAACCCTCTGCTATGCAGGAATATACAATCAAAGCACTCTTGACAAATAGTTATTACCCCTCCCCCAATACATATTTTTATGTGTAAATCAGGGCAGGTATAGTTCAGTATGCAGAATACAAGTTTGAGATGGGAGAAGAAACCTTAATCCCTTTGCTTACTGATTCCTCCATTAACTCAAGTTTCAGACCTCTTATTTTCCATCACAAATGCTGGTGGTGTGGTGTAGACTGGATACAGAAGAAGAAAGACAATTCTCTAATTGTACAGAAGAGGTGATTCAGCCGTTGCACCTTGTACAAGGCTCCCTTCTCTTATTCTTCTCCAAGCTCTGGAAGTTCATTGCCACATCCCTAATTTGATCTGACAGTGCTGACTTGGGGAGCTTCCTTGCAGAGGTATCCCAAATATCTCTGGCTCTATAGCACGTGCTGCTGTCAAGTGACTTTTCATGCTGGAGATGCTGGGGAATTGCATTGTCAAGGCAATTCTGTGAGGAAAATATGTCAGAAGCTCTGGCTGTTGTGTCTGGTGTCTATGACTGCCTTGTGAAGCCTGGATCTCACAAACTTAGGAATCTAAGTTTAGACTGTTATTGTGGAGAGCCAGTTCAGGGTCATGAAGAATGTCTGAGCCCTGCAAGTGACCAAAACATCAGCACCTAGATCACCTAAACTCCATCAAAGAGAGTCCTAAGAACTGGAGAAACAGCCGAAAACTTGGTTCCACTTTTTCTTTTACACCATAGTTTTTAGGAAGTGTTGATGTTAATAGATCCAGTATGGTGTAGTGGTTTGAGGACTGGACTATGACTCTGGAAACCAGAGTTCAGATCCTAGCTCAGCCATGTAAACCTACTGGCTGACTTTGGACGAGTCATACTCTCTCAGCCTCAGGAGATAATGGCAAACCTCCTCTGAAGAAACTTGCCAAGAAAACCCCATGATTGGTTCACATTAGGGTTGCCATAAGTCAGAAGTGACTTGAAGAGACACAACAGCAGCAACAACAACAAGCTGATGTTAATAACTAAGACATGTATTGGTTGGGTTTTTTGTGGAGTGGGGAGGCTGACCTGGGAGAAGAGTGAGATCGGACTTGCAGCTGGCTTTTGAAAACTTCTGTTTTCATTATGGGTACTTTAAAAATCAAGCTGTTGTTCAAACAAACAAACAAACAAAACACATCCAAGCAACGTGTATTAAAATCTGAAATGAGAGAAGAGTTGGACAAAGCTTCTAGGGCTTAGTAATTCTATGCCCTTTTCAGAAGCTTTCCACCTTTGCACTGGTTTTGATCCAACAGATGAGCTGCTTGAGAGGGTTTCTGCCCTGCATCTGCATTGTTAGGGAAAGATGCTTGCCTGTATAAACAGGAGGGGCATATTTAAAAAATGTTGTTGTTGTTGTTGTTGTTGTGTGCGTTCAAGTTGTTTCTGACTTAGGACAACCCTAAAGTGAACCTATCATGGGGTTTTCTTGGCACATTTCTTCAGAGGGGGGTTGACATTGCCATCCTTGGAAGCTGAGAAAGTGTGACGTGCTCAAGGTCACCCAGTGGGTTTACATAGCTGAGCTAGGATTCAGACCCTGGTCTCCAGAGTCATAGTCCAGTGCTCAAACCACTACACCAAAATGAGCTGCAGTTAATTACAATTCCCCTTTTAATGTTGGCCTGCACATAGTATGGGGGCACAACTGCCATGGGCTGGGAGACCACCTTTTTGAGTTGGACACGTGGTCAAGAGTTGCACTCTTTGGGTTTTTTATTAATTGGTTAAAATGTACACAAAGGTAAAGGTAAAGTTATTCCCCTTTGACAAGGTTGTCAAATCATGTCCGACTGTAGGGGCAGTGCTCATCTCCATTACTAAGCCAAAGAGAAAGCATTGTCAGAGATTACTCTGTGATCATGTGGCCAGCATGATTGCAC